GGTTGGATCTTCAACTCAATGGAGGAGCGTATCTATAATATGTTCATGTTTCACACTTTCGTTTTTCATTTGTGGCAAGCCAGTAACAAGATGTATGCCCATTCCCGCAATGGCGCTCGTATCTTTGAACTCTATAAAGAGATTGCTCATGCATCTTAGGAGACACGCTGTCAGTATCAGAGTATTTTGGGTACCTCTAGTCTAGGTGGGAAGAATCAGCACAGTATGAACCTCTCTTCGATTTCTCTGAAGAAGCTGCAACTCTTTTGGTCAAGAGACTGGACTACCAGCATACCTACCAGTTTTTGATGGGTTTACGATCTGAGTATGATGCTCTTAGAACTCAGATCATAAACACCTCTCCTATGCCTGACCATGAGGAGCATAGACGTCAGATCTCTTAGCCAGTAGCTTTACCAGAGACTCCAGTTGATCAGATGGCACTTGCTGCTAGTTCTAAACTTTCAGAGGGAAAGGTTATTTGTCAACATTGTGGAGCCACGGGTCATGTAAAGGATCGTTCCTTTAAGCTTCATCTTGGGCTAAAGCAGAAATTTTCTCGCAATTGTCCTTTTGGCTGTGGCCACACTACCGCAGTAGCCGTTACTATTGGTGGATATATTATTCCACATATTGTTGTCCCTCCTGCTTCAACTCCTCCCAGACCATTTTTTTAGGACTTCAATCAGTTACAGTCCCACGGCTACTATAGCTACAGGTACTCCTTTTGCTTTTCATGTTAAAGCGGGAAAACCTACTTGGGTTTGATTAGTGTAAAATTATGGATTCTGTCGTTATTTTTCTACACTTCGTGCAAAAATAAAAAAAACCTGTAAAAACTAAATTAAAGATGGTATAGAATAAGCATGGTCGAACCATACAAGATTTAAACTCGTGAATCAAAATTAAAACCAAAATTTAAGGAAGAATAACTTTTAAAACAATTTAATGATTTATTACTAATAAAATAAAAATAAAATAAATAAATAAGATAAAATAAATTCTGATCAACTAATAGGAAAAATCTCAAGGAAAGAATCCACCACCACAACTTACTATAAATAAATTAGTATATTTCTATGTATGTAAATTTTCAATTTTTGTTATCAACTAATCATTTATTATTAAGTATAAAATAACAATTTTTGTGCACTTATCAGGGTTCTGGATTCCGGAGCCAATGATCACATGACTGGTGAATTGTCATTATTTTCTACTCCCGTTACCCCTGTTAATCAGGTTGTTAGTCTAGTCGATGGGTCAACCACCATTATTTGTAGTACAGGAGATGTTCATCTATCCCCTGAGATCACACGATGTTTTACAAACACAAAGGAGGGAAGGTAACCGTACTAATTGTGTATGTTGATGACATCATTGTGACTGGTAATGATGACACTGAGGTGGATGACCTAAAGAAATCTCTTGCAAAAGAATTTGAGACTAAGGAGTCGGGAAATCTGAGGTATTTCTTGGGAATAGAAGTTGCAAGGTCATAAAAAGGAATATTTCTGTCACAAAGGAAATATATCCTCGATTTGCTTAAGGAAACCGGTCTATTGGGATGCAAACCAGAAGATACTCCTATTGACTTCAGCCACAAACTTGATGGTATAACCACAAGCCCAATGGTGGAAAAGGAGAGGTACCAACGATTAGTTGGAAAGCTCATTTACTTATCCTATACTAGGCCTGATATTGCCTATGCCATGGGAATTGTCAGCTGGTTCATGCACGCTCCTAATCAAGACCATCTGAATGCTGCATTCAGGATCCTAAGATATCTCAAGGGCACTCCAGGAAAATGAATTTTATTCTCCAAAAATGGGAATATGGAGATTGAAGCCTACACCGATGCAGACTGGGGAGGATCACTCAGTGATAGATGCTCTAGTTCAGGGTATTGTACCTTTGTAGGAGGTAATTTGGTGACATAGAGGAGTCAGAAGCAAACGATTGTGGCTAGATCAAGTGTTGAAGCTGAGTTCCGTGCAATGGCTTTGGGAATTTGTGAGTTACTTTGGCAGAAGTTTATTTTAAAGGAACTGAATTTGTAAAGCAGTAATCCTATGAAACTTTACTGTGACAACAAAACAGCCATTAGTATAGCACACAATCCACGACAGACCAAAACATGTTGAAATCGACAGACACTTTATCAAGGAGAAAATTGAAGGAGGCCTCGTTTGTACTCCCTACATCCAATCAAAAGAACAGTTTGCTGAAACCTTGACTAAAGGTTTGGCTAAAGGACAATTTCAGGAGTTAATTGGCAAGCTGGGCATGACTGGTATCTACACGCCAGCTTGAGGGGGAGTGTGGAAAAATAAATCACCAGAAAATCTTGGATTCTAGGCGCGATTGACCCCAGGATTCGGATCCAATTTATTCAAAATTATTCCCTTTATAAATTGGAATGATTCCTTCCCATTTTAGTCTCTGATTCCAGTTGTTTGTACAGCTACAAATCTTTAATTTTGTACATTTATTACTTTCCGTATTTATAGCCTAAAGTGTAGCTGTCCTTTATTGTATATATAAACCTTGTACACTCTGTAAACGATGAAGGAAATATAGAATTCCTTATTCAAAAACTCTCCTCAGTATTTATTTAAGAGAAAGCTTTAGAATCTTAATCTTGATATATATATATATATATATATATATATATATATATTCATGAAAACTCATTTTTTTCAAATCTGTAAAAAATAAGTAAATAAAAACCTTAGGTTTCACCATTCAACAAAAAAGCATATGAAAATGAATAATGTGTTTGCATGTACCTAAATGGTTGTAGATGAAATCAAGTGTGATTCATGCCTTTTTAAGCTCACATTTGAGGAGATTACATCTTTGCCCTTTGAATTTGATCTCTGGACTGTTTTGCCCTTTGTAGAAGATCTTGAACCTTTTTGCCCTTTTGATGTAGAATTTTTCAGCAGCTTTGTCTTCACACTCAACTCATCTAACTAATCTATTTCTATTTCACTCACTAAAAAATTAATTATTAAAGGGTAAAGTACAAGAACACCCCCTGAGGTTTGCCAAAAGGACACATAGATACAAGTTACCTTATTTTTGGACAATGACACCCCTTATGAGATTTGCAATCCAAACAGAGCCTAAAATCATGTGAAAAGTCTACTTTTCCCTTCACTGTTTTATTAATTTTAATTATAAAATATCAAAATAATTAAATGACTAAATTACCCATGCCTCTCTATCTCTAAATTACCCTTTGCCTCTCTTCCGTCCCCCCCCCCCCCCCCCCGGGCTCTCTCTCTATATATACGGCGCCACCACCACCCATCGTCCACTGCGCAGCCACCACCACCACCCAGATCTCGTCAGCTTCTATGGACGATGCAACACAGAGCTCCATTGCTCCATCTCCTCAACCACAATCGCCGGCATCATCTCCTCCTCAACCACAATCGCCGCCATCATCTCCCTCTTCAACCAGAACCGCCGCCACCATCTGCCGGATGTGTTTTGGGACCCCGATCTGAATCTTCAACGCGTTGAGGACGTCTCAACCGCCACCGCCGTCGAAGAGAAGATGTTGCCCTTGTAATTGATGGCGTCGAGCGATGGTAGTTGGTGACTGTTGAGGCCCTCTTCAAACTGGTACATGTTAACCAAAATACCAATCTTCAGCATAATGGGAAAAACTTGAATTTATCAGGCAATAGTCGGATTTACATATGGCTCCTTTGGCTTTCAAATGTATAAAGATTATAGTAAATGAAATGATGTTTAGATAAACAACAATCCTTTTACACGGCTGCAACAACCTTCAATTCTGAGATGAGAATGAGACTATAACTTGAACCCACAAATTTGGGAGAGAATTGGATAACCAACTTGCTCTTCAGTCGGAAAGACATTTACATGAACCATAATCTTATTTGTAAATTTGGTCAAAATCTTATCTGTACAGATCAAATGGGTATTTTAGTCAATAAAAGGGTTATTTTTGTCAATTTTATACTGAAGGGTGATATAGTCGATTCATCATTGTAAGGGTGTCTTTGTCCATTTTATCAAGTGTGAGGGGGTGTCATTGTCCAAAAATAGGGTAACTTATATCTGTGTGTCCTTTTGGCAAACCTCAGGGGGTGTTGCTGTACTTTACCAAATATTAAATTACATTGAGTGAGTTTTGTACAACGAAATTTGCCAACCACATTACTAGAATCCTAAAAATGATCCATAGAAACAACACACTCTTGATCATGAATCAACACAGAAACACTGTCCGGAAAGTCCCCGTGCACATCCATTTCCGTCATAACTCGAATAAATTTTCTCTCTCACGAGTCAAAGTGATGTCATCCATGAAAATGGGCTTTGAGAACTGGGAACAATTCTTCGAAATCGCCATTGGGCTTCTAGCATGTATCAGAAGATTATATAGCTTGATCCACGTAGGGACTGAAGAAAGAAGATCTCGATCAAGAAGAACATTCTTATCCCACCTCTTGACAATAATCAGCCTTCCTTCGAAAGTATGAACTCGACTAAGCATGGTATCAATGACAACAACATCATTGAACTTAACCTGGAAAAAACCTTCCTTCATAGAAACAACAAATGGCTTCTTTACTCCATCAACAATGGACAAAAGTCTTGGAAAAGGGAAAATATGGCTTGCTACCCATCACATAGAAAATGATCGAATCATTCCAAAACTCAATTTCTTCTGCAATATCCTCATTTGTGATTGATACTTTATCTATCTTCCTGCATTCTTGATGGTATTTTAAATTTGTACTTTGTAGTTGGTTTCTTCAGTTCACTTGTAAAGAGTGAACTCCATGTAGGATGTTTGGAAGAAGAATTTTGGGCCTGTGAAACTCCTGGTTGTTTCGGGGAGGAGGTTTGACCCTCCCAGTTCTTTTATGAAAGAGCTGTATTTTTCTCGTTGAAGCTTTTCTTTTGTTTATTCCATTGTAACTACTTTAACTCAAATCTTATGTGATCATTTGGATTTGCAGGTGGTTGGCGTTCCCGTTACTTTAAATGGAGATCTCAAGAATCAATTTGTTGAAACAAATGTTGGCTTTGATACAATCTGTAAGGTATTAGTTTTAGAAGTTTTAGTTTAAGAAATTAAATTTTGTGAATAAATGAAGTCACGTAAATCAAGTCGGTAATGAAGGCCCTCTCATTGAGCCCTCATAGCCGTTGGATCAAGAGGTTCTGATGTCAACTTCTCAATCCATCGAATATGATGGCACACCTAGAGTGAGTGCCCTCGTAGTAGTAGCTTTTTCCGGTCACATATCCATCAATTTTTTCTGGTCCTCTTTTTCATTTTATCTAAAAGTAAAATGGTTTATATTTCTACTTCACATTGTAATGCAAACTTTATACCTTTCTCTGAATCTTCTTCGAAGCACTGAAGAACGGATGGTTCTGGCAAAATTTATAGATCTTCTTATGACCTATTGAAAATTCTATTCGCATCTTTTTTTGGGTTTATTCATTTCCACAACCACCCCACACCACCCCCACCCAACCCCCCCCCCCCCCCCCCCCCCCCCCCCCCCGTGTTCCTACTGTAGCTTAAGGAACATTTTGTATACCTTGCTGAGTTATGCTCCATACTGCTTGATTTAGTAGTGGTTCCATGATGTTTTGTGTGATCTGAAGAAATTCCATATGGGTTTTTGTTTCTTTTTCCTATTTTATATGCAATTCAAATACTTTGAGGAAGAAAATGAAAGCCATCTCTTCTTTTATTATATTATGCAGGTTAATTCCCAGCTCATTAGCAACGTCTGCACTGATGCTCTCTCTGCAGAGAAGGTGATGAACACATAATTTTTATCCTCATGAAAAAATTCTTGTAATGTAATTGAAGTGTGACCATTGTGGGCTCAATTAAACTTCAATATCATATGCTTTTTTATCACGTATTTGAGTTTCCTGCATTTTAATATGCTTCCTTCTTTTCTTTTGTAAAGGTGTTGTCCATTTCTTTAAGGTGGTGGTGTTCTGAAATATTCATCTTTCCTTTTCAGTATTATTATTTTATCCGACTCATGGGTCAGAAGGCATCACATGTTGCTTTGGAATGCACACTCCAGTCTCATCCAAATTTGGTTTGTATTTGTTTGTAGTAATTTTTTTATTTTTATTTTTATTTTTTAATTTTGGTCTTGTATTAAAATTTGATACTCCTTTTGGAGGGTTGTCTTCATAATAGCATTTCATCTTCCAGTCTAGCTTTTGTACTTACCTTGTAGGTCATTCTGGGCGAAGAGGTTGGTGCATCAAAGCTTACTCTTTTTGACTTGACAAAACTAATTTGTGATGCTGTGCAAGCTAGGGCAGAACAAGGTTTGGAATCTCTATATTTTTTGTTTTTTTCTTTGTTGTGAGTTATAATTGTTGTGGTTATCTAGTCTAATGTTTTGCGGACCAGACAAGTACCATGGGGTCATCCTACTGCCAGAGGGGCTTATAGAAAGCATTCCTGAAGTGTATGCTCTCTTACAGGTAAATTATGCCGTTTTTAATTTCATGTAACTAGAAGGAAACTTGTTTCTGTTGTTCCATTTGAAACAAGTGGGTATACTAATTTGGTCTTATACTATAGTATTAACATTTTGTATTTCTCAGGAAATTCATGGTTTACTCAAAAAAGGTGTTTCTGTGGACAACATTTCTTCTAAACTGTCACCTTGGGCATCTGCTTTATTCGAATTTTTGCCACCCTTTATTAGAAAACAGGTTTATCCCTTATGTGTCTTTACATTAACCCTTTGTTTGGGAGCACCGAATAAGTTTCCTTGAGTGGTTACAATCTTTCTAATTTTGCAGCTTCTCCTCCACCCGGAATCTGATGACTCTGCACAGTTATCCCAGGTATGGGATTCTAAGATGCTTCTGATCACATAAGAAAAAACTTGTGAATTTTTGTTGTTTATAGTGATCGTGCATTTTTTTTTTTTTTTTTTTTTCCATTTTCCAGATTGAGACGGAAAAACTTTTAGCTCATCTTGTGGAAGCAGAAATGAACAAGCGATTGGTAGGATATAATCAACGACAACATTCTAGATTATTATATAACAAGATGCTATAAGACTCCATAAGCTTCTATGGACATTATACTCCTATTGCCATACACCATAATTATCTATTATATTCTAGAGTACTCGACGAGACTATATTTCAATAAAACACATGCTATTTAGTCATCAAATAATGCACATATGCTGTCTGCATTGCGTAACTTTCTTGTAACTTGGGTGGAGTGTGATAACATGGTTTGATTATGATGGATAGTCAATTTGTTTCTTTTTACTTTTTGTGTCTGAACTAATATTAAACTTATGTAATTACTTAGGGAAAAAAAAAAATATGGCTATTAGGACATGGCTGGTTTGTTGCCATTCCTCAAAATTGCTGCTGGGAGTATGTTAATTGCAGTATTTTCTATTTCAATTCCTAAATGCTTTTGAGAAATTGACTATATATGTGCATAATTACATTTCCTTCTGGCTGAGTAAAAAGAAGTGAGACGACCTGACCATTTTTATTAGTTAAATATGGTATTTTATTACAGTTGAACATCATGATGTTTTTAAAATCACTATTGTATTTCTTGATTTTAACAGAAAGAAGGCACATACAAGGGTAAGAAATTTAATGCTATCTGCCACTTCTTTGGCTATCAAGCTCGGGGATCATTACCATCAAAGTTTGATTGTGACTATGCTTATGTATGTTTTTCTTGGTGCCGTTTTAACTATGTTTCTCTCTAGTTTTCATGTTGAATAGCTTTCCCTATAATCAATAATAATATCTGTGCAGGTTCTTGGGCACATCTCTTACCATATTCTTGCAGCTGGTCTAAATGGTTATATGGCAACCGTAACCAACCTAAAAAATCCTTTAAACAAATGGCGCTGTGGTGCTGCTCCTATAACAGTAGGTTTATTTCATTTATATTTTTGTGATTTTTTAATCCTTTTTTGTTTTTTGTTTTGTTTTTTGCTTTTCATAAGTGAGGTTGTTTCCATTGAAAATATGTTTATTTATTTATTTTTTATAGTACTAGTTCAGTTTTTCTTATTCCTTGTACTATTTCTTTCTTTTTTTCTTTTTCGAAATTTTCTTTATGGAGAAAGTTGACTTGATTATAGCTTTGTTGGAAATAGTGGCCTAGTTACACACACAAAGCTATACTATTTGGAAGAGAATAAAAATGGAGGAAAACACTTTTTATTTCACTTGATTGAAAATGGGTACAATACATGGGTTTATATAGGCTTCAAAACATAAATGTAAATGAAAATTAACACCCCACTAACATAACATTTAGCAGGCAAAACTCCCACTAACCCACTAACATGACCATTACTAGTTGTCACTCTCATGCCCCCCACTAACTCCAATAAAAACTCACATAAACATAAAATTAAACATAAAATAAAAAACATCCATAACCTTTAAAGACATTTAAAAATAAAATCAAGTTTAATTTCTAACTCCCCCCCCCCCCCCCCCCCCCCCCTTAAACTTGATTTTTTTCAACTCCAAGCAAACTCCTTAACTTGTGAAATTCTACAAACTAGAGGGGTTTGGTGAAAATATCCGCAATTTGATCTTGTGACTTGATGTGCTTGAGCTCCACCTCCTTTTTGGTTGTGCATATGCTTGCTTCGTTCATGAAACACCGGATTCTTGGCCAAAGCAATTGCTGATTTGTTGTCCACTAAAATCTTCGTTGACTCTTCTTGTAGCATGTGTAATTTCTTCAACAAATTCCTTAACCAAATTGCTTGACAAACACATGAAGTGGTTGCAACATATTCCGCTTCACAAGTTGAGAGGGTGACAATGGGTTGCTTCTTTGAACACCATGTAAAAGCAGTATTTCCCATAAAAAAAAACAATAGCCCGAAGTACTTTTTCTATCATCCAAATCTCCGGCCCAATCGCTATCACAATAACCCACAAGCTTGAAATCATTAGAAAATGAATAGAATAACCCAAAATCAAGGGTACCTTTGATGTAACGAAGAATCCTCTTAGCCGCCTTGAAATGAGTTATGGTGGGTCTTTCCACAAACTTACTAACAAGCCCAACCGCAAATAATATGTCTGGCCTTGTGCATGTTAAGTATCTCAAGCTTCCAACAAGACTTTTGAAAAATGTTGGATCCACCGTCTTTCCATCTTCATCTCTTGGACAATTTAATTCCAACTTCCATGGGCGTGTTTACCAATTTACAATCTTCCATCTTGAATTTCTTGAGAATTTCCTTAGCATAGCCTTCTTGGTGAATGAAAATTCCATCCTTCATTTGTTTGACCTCAATGCCAAGATAATAAGCCATGATGCCAATATCCGTTATCTCGAACTCTCGAGCCATAACCTTCTTGAAATCTTCAAACATTTTTGGATTGCTACCTGTGAAGATTAAATCATCCACATACAAGCAAAAAAAAAATATATCTCCATTCTCACTTACTTTGGAATAAAGAGCATGTTCATAAGGGCACTTTGAAAAATTATTGTCTTGAAAATATTTGTCAATCCGCTTATTTCACGCCCTTGGTGCTTGCTTCCAGCCATATAAAGCCTTCTTCAATTTCAAGACTTTGTTTTCTTGCCCTTTTACAATATAGCCCATGGGTTGTTGCACATACACCTCTTCTTCAAGAAACCAATTCAAGAAAGCTGATTTCACATCCATTTGGTGGATTCTCCAATTGTTTTGGGCTGCCAAAGAAATTAACAATCTAATTGTTTCCAAACGAGCTACGGGTGCAAATACCTCATCGTAATCAATTCCGGGCTTTTGGTTGTACCCCTTGGCGACCAATCTTGTTTTATATTTTTCAACTTCACCATTTGCATTCTTCATTGCTTTATACACCCATTTGACACCAATTGCCTTTTGCTCTTTTGGAAGTGTAGCAAGCTCCCATGTGTCATTCTTCTCTATGGATTTAATTTCTTCATCCATAACATTTCTCCATTTTTTGTCTTGTGCCGCCTCTTCAAATCCTACGGGTTCACAATCCGCAAAGTGACAAAAAAGTGTTAGATCACCTAACCTTTCATCCGTTTCATCATATATGTCACGAAGACTCCTCATGCGAAGTGGTGGTGAGTCACTTGAACTTGATGATGATGGAGTTGATTGATCATAAATTGATGGTGGTGGAGGTGATGTTGGTGGAGAAATGGGCTGCTCCATGCCTTCATTTTCTTGCTCCTCATCCAAAATTGGAAAAATATTATAATCTTCATTTGGAGAGTTCCAATCCCATGTAGCTTCCTCTTCGAATTCAACATCTCTACTAATGACAATTTTCCCATTGCTTGGATTGTACAACTTGTAACCTTTGGAACTTGCATCATAGCCAATGAACACCATTTTTTCACTTTTGTTGTCTAACTTGGTCCTCCTTTCATCCGGCACGTGCACATGGGCAATGCTCCCAAAAACCCGCAAATGAGAGACTTGGCTTTCTTCCGCTCCATGTTTCTTGTGGTGTTTTGTTTTGCACACTTCTAGTAGGACACCGGTTGGACAAGTACACCGCACAATCAACCACTTCAGCCCAAAATTCTTTAAGCATTTCCTTGCTTTTCAACATGCTTCGAGCCATATTGAGAATGGTTCTGTTCTTCCTTTCTGCAACTCCATTTTGTTGGGGTGATCTCGGAACCGTTAAAGGATGGTGAATTCCATTTTCTTCACAAATTTTTTTGAAATTATTTGATGTGAATTCACCACCTCTATCGGATCGAAGAGCCTTTACATCATAGCCACTTTGTTTTTCAACAAGTGCTTTAAATTTCTTAAAAATTCCATGCACCTCTTATTTTTGTTTAAGAAAATACACCCATGTTTTTCGGCTAAAATCATCAATGAATAATAAAAAATAATTATTCTTACCAAATGATGATGGAGAAATTGGACCACAAACATCCGACTGAATAAGTTGTAGTGGCGCCGTAGCTCTTGTGGTAGCTTCTTTAGGAAAACTTTTCCTTGATTGCTTTCCAACGAGATATCCTTCACATAATTGATTTGGATTGCTAATGAAAGGCAATCCCTTCACCATCTTTTTTTTGGCCAACAACTCTAATCCTCCAAAATTCAAGTGCCCAAGTCTCAAGTGCCAAAGCCAAGTTAAATCATTAAAACAAGCCTGCAAACATTTAGCCTCGTCGGCTTGAATATTTAGCAAAAACATCCGCTTCTTTGTCATTGGAACCTTGGCAATCAAATTACCCAATGGGTTTCTAATCGAAAGACTACAATCCTTCATGGAAATATTGTAGCCTTTTTCTAAGAGTTGTCCCAAACTCAAAATAGTGTTCTTCATATTAGGTACATAATAAACATTAGAGATAAATTAATAATGCCCATTCCTCAAACGAATCAATATTTTACCTTTCCCTTTTACCGGAATTTGTGATAAGTCTCCAAATGTTACCTTGCCATTTATTGATTCATCAATATCAACGAACTTCTCTTTGCTACCACACATATGGTTGCTAGCACCGGTGTCAAGATACCACACATCTTCTTCACTCCTTTCACCTTTGTATGCCAACAACAAAGCAGGCTCCACTTCTTCATCAACATAATTAGCCTTTTCTTCAACATCGTTAGCAACATTTCTACATTCCGAAGCATAATGACCATGCTTTTGACAATTGTAACATTGAATTTGAGACTTATCATACCTCCTTCCATATGACCTTGAGTAATTTCCTCTACCACAACCTCTTATTTGTTGTGAGTCATGGATTTTTTCTTCATTGTTGGTTGTGTGTTGACTGCTTCTTTCTCCTTAGTTGAATTACAATAGCCAGGACCCTCGAAAAATAATCTGAAATTGATTCGGATTCCTTCATATGCAATGCTTCAAATTCACCCTGTAAGGCGGACCTTCTTCACTTTATTAACTCCTTGGAAGGAATTTTGAAGAATCTCCCATAGTTGCTTTGCATTTTCTGCACTAGCAACTCTTTGTAGCATTCCATCATCCAAACATTGATGAATGGTCATCACCGCCTTTTGGTCCTTCTTTCTCATGGCTTGTAAAATATCTTTTTCGGCTTGAGACAAAGTTGCCTCATCTTCTGACTCATCATAACCTTTGGAAACAACTTCCCACATATCTTGTGCTCCCAAAATTGCTTTCATACGGATACACCAATTTTCATAGTTATCTTTGGTGAATCAAGGCATTTGAAATGGAACCGAATTGTTTGCCATTTCTTCTCTCTCTCACAAACTAGCTCTGATACCACTTTTATCAGAATATCAGCTCCACCACATTACTTGCTAGTTGTACATGGCTTTCTTTTAGTCAAATTTGTTGTTACTGGCTTCCTTAAATCAAGTAGTTGACCATGAATATCTGAACTAGTTATTGACCATGAATATCTTAACTTGTTATTTGTTTCCTTAGATAGAGGACCTAACTGAGAGATACTCTCTTGTAAAGTCTATATATACCCTCTTGTAACACATTGAATATATATCAGATTTCTCACAATATTTCTCTATTAGTGTTATTTATTATGGTATCAGAGCACCTCTGCTCACAACTCTGAATTTTCTTTCAATCTGTCTTTTCTTAATTCTTCAATTCATTCACAATGGTTGATCCAACAGATATTCAAAATTCTGAACTTCAAGGGTCAAATGATCCTTTCTTTGTCCATCACTCGGATAGCCCCACGGCTATCCTTGTTTCTCCAATGTTGTCCGGTGACAACTACAATACGTGGTTACGATCTATTTCGAGGGCCCTTCGAGCCAAAAATAAAATAGGTTTTGTAGATAGCTCAATCAAAATCCCTACTGATCTAAATGAAAAATCCAAGTGGTCTAGATGTGACGATCTTGTTGCCTCATGGATTCTCAATTCAGTTATGCCGGAGATACGTGGGAGTATTCTCTATGCGGATACTGCTCGTGACATTTGGAAGGACCTACGAGATTGGTTCTCACAGACTAATGCACCAAAAATCTACTAACTCAAGCAATCAATCTCCTCGCTCAAGCAAGACAACAGTATGTTTCCGTTTGCACTTATGGTCATGGATCTGCCACTACAACTTGGCTTCAAGAAGACCATGCAATGGAATTTTTGCAAGGTCTTCATGATCGTTTTTCAACCATCCGTAGTCAAATTTTACTAATGGATCCTTTTCCTAGTGTTGCCAAAATTTACTCTCTCGTCAGGCAAGAAGAGAAGCAGCATGAAATACATGCATTGTCCAATCCCGTTCCTGAAGCCGCGGTCTTGAGTGCTCGATTCAATGAGAATAGAACTAACAACTGGGCTTCGGGTGCAAAGGCAACTCAACAAAATTTTCAGCCACAGAACAATGGCAAATTCTCTCGGGACCACAACAACAATTCATACCAAGGATAGCGTGGTGGGATACAACGCCCATTTTGCGATCATTGCAACCGATTGGGCCATCATAGGGCTACATGTTACAAGCTTCATGGATACCCCAACAAAAACATCCAAGCTAATGCAGTTTCAGCAGACACATCTCACTATTCGGCCATTCCTCCTATTTTCTCCACCGAACAATATAACAAGATCTTAAGCATGCTTAAGTCAGGTAGCCCCACACCACAAGCAAATTTGACAGGTATATCTCTTTTGTGCTCATCTAAATCTGTATGGATCACCGATTCTGGCGCTACTAATCATGTCAGTTCCTCATTACATCTTTTTTCAACCTATACTATTTGTTCCAAGCGTTCCACTCTTAAGCTTCCAAATGGAATGGATCATTTAATTACCCACATTGTAGTGTCATTTTCTCACCATCGATGCGTCTTGATAATGTCCTCTTTGTACCTACCTTTCAATTTAATTTGATTTCTGTTAGTGAATTGGTCCAGTCCCAACCCATCTATATCTCATTCACTAACGATTCTTGTATTTTTCAGGACCAGTTATCGAAGAGGAAGATTGGATCGGGACGCCTACATGAGGGACTCTATTACCTTCAATTAGCCTTAGTTTGCTCTGTTCAAAATTCCACCTCCAATAATTTATGACATTGTCGATTAGGACATGCTTCTACTGATCGTTTGCAAATGTTAGCTAAGTAATTCCCTTTTATTCGTTGTCCAAATACTTCTAGTTGCATTATCTGCCCGCAAGTTAAGCAAACACGTTTATGTTTTCCAAATAGCTCAATCAAGACTAGTAGACCATTTCAAATAATTCATTGTGATATCTGGGGGCCATTTTCTCTACCATCTCATTCTAATGCTCGATTTGTTTTAACTATAGTTGATGACTATAGTCGTGCTACATGGATATATTTAATGCATGTTAAATCTGAAACTGCAAAAATCTTACAATCATTTTTTGTCATGGTTCATACTCAATTTAGTTCAAAAATTCATTCCCTCATTTCTGGAGTTGGTGATATAGATGAATACTTCAATGATATTCAAATTCTTCGATCCGATAATGGAACCGAGTTCTTATCCCACACCATGCAACATTTTTTTACCACCCATGGCGTCATCCATCAACGCAGTTGCGTTGTTACACCACAACAAAATGGTGTTGTGGAGAGAAAACACCGTCACCTACTCAATGTTGCACGTGCCATACGTTTTCAGGCCCATCTTCCATTATCTTTTTGGGGTGAGTGTGTTTTCACTGCAGCCTATATAATTAACAAAACTCCCACCCCTTTGTTAGGTGGTAAGTCACCACATGAAATACTATTTCACACACCGCCAAATTATTCCAACCTTTGAATTTTCGGTTGCTTATGTTTTGGCCGTAATACCAACATCAAAACTAAATTCGATCAAAGAGGCAAACCGGGTATTTTTGTTGGATATCCCCATGCTCAAAAAGGGTATCGCATTTTCGATATTGTTTCTAAGCACATTTACACATCTCGTGATGTGATCTTTCATTAGACCACTTTTCCTTATCAAGATATTTCTGCCTCTCCATCCGACTTGCAAGTTTACCCTTTACCCGTCCTTGACAAATGGCACATTCAATTATGCACCTTCTCCACTAGCAGTTTCAGAATTATCTCCTATTCATATAGATTCCAACTCATCTGCCCAAGTCATCCCATAGTCTCCTATTGCAAACCAACCCCATCAGGTTCCACCATTACAAGTATATCATCGTCGTCATCCTTCCACACAACCCACAATCTTACCCAATGAAAATCCAGAGTCAACTTCAGCACCACAACCCGTTGTTCCTAACTCATCTCGGCCATCGAGAGAGCGACACCCATCGCTCCATCTCAAAGATTTTCATTGCTCAGACTCTCAGGTAACTACAAGTTCTACTCCATATCCTATTACTTTGTATGTTTCCGACACTAATTTCTCTGTCCCACAGAGCTTTTTTATCTACAGTGTCTTCTACAGTTGAACCAAAATCATTCTCTCAAGCTGTCAAACTTCCACAATGGAGAGATGCAATGTCTGCCGAAATTGCATTATTAGAAAAAAATCATACCTGGACTCTTGCTCCTTTGCCCTTTTACATCACAAGCCTATCGGCTGTAAATGGGTTTTTAAGATCAAGTATCATTCAGATGGTTCCATTGAACGTTACAAGGCCCGTTTGGTCGCTAAAGGATAAAATCAGATTGAGGGCCAAGATTACCATGATACCTTTGCTCCTGTGGCTAAATTAGTCACTGTTCGCTTGCTTCTTTCCATTGCTACTATGATTACTATCAGAAATTGGTCCATTCATCAATTGGACGTCCATAATGCATTCCTACAAGGGGATTTAGATGAGACGGTTTACATGACTTTACCCCCGGGATTCACCAAACAGGGGGAGCAAAGGGTATGTAGACTCAATAAAATACTTGTATGGACTTAAACAAGCTTCTTGGCAATGGTTTGCCAAATTCTCTACAACATTGATCAATGCAGGGTTCTCTCAATCTAAATCTGACTATTCTTTATTTACTCAGATTAATGGTTCTAATTCCACATTTGTGCTCGTTTATGTTGATGACATTCTTGTCACAGGAAATAATCCTCTCATTATTTAGAAATTGAAACAATTTCTAGAACGCAAATATTTCCTTGGCATCGAAGTAGCCCGCTCTAAGAAAGGCCTCTTCCTTATCCAACGCAAATATACCACCGACATTTTATCCGATGTTGGAACCACAGGTGGTCGGATTTCTGAGTTTCCTATCGAACATCTCAATCTCGCTACAGAGGTTGGCACATTATTACCAGACCCTACAATTTACCGTCGTCTTGTGGGTCGTCTTCTTTATCTTACTGTCACACCACCAGATATCACCTTTGCTGTCAATCAACTCAGCCAATTCATGCAATCCCCATGTACTACACACATGGATGCTGCTAATCGTGTACTTCGTTACCTCAAAGGTTCTCTCAACAAAGGTATACTATTATTTGCTTCTAACTCTCTCCACATCACAGGTTTTTGCGATTCTGACTGGGGCGGCTGCTCCATCACTCGTCGATCTACTAGTGGTTATTGTACTTTCCTTGGTTCTAGCCCTATCTCATGGAAGACAAAGAAACAACCAACTGTTTCTAAATCTTCTGCAGAAGCCGAATACAGATCAATGGCAACCCTTGCATGTGAACTTCAATGGTTAAAGTATCTTCTTGCGGATTTGGGCATTTCACATACATCTCCGATGACCATGTTTTGTGACAATCAAGCAGCTCTTTACATCTCTCACAATCCAGTGTTTCATGAACGCACAAAGCACATCGAGATTGACTGTCGTTTCGTGCGTGAAAAGATTCAAAACAAATTATTGTCTCCTCGATACATCCCATCGTCGTCTCAAGTTGCTGATATATTCACCAAGCCACTTGGAAAGGATGCTTTCTTCAGACTCATTCGCAAGATGGGCGTTCTCGACATCCACACTCCATCTTGAGGGGGAGTATCAGAATATCAGTTCCACCACATTACTTGCTAGTTGTACATGGCTTTCTTTTAGTCAAAGTTGTTGTTACTGGCTTCCTCAAATCAAGTAGTTGACCATGAATATCTGAACTAGTTATTGACCATGAATATCTCAACTTGTTATTTGTTTCCTTAGATAGAGGACCTAACTGAGAGATACTCTCTTGTAAAGTCTATATATACCCTCTTGTAACACATTGAATATATATCAGATTTCTCACAATATTTCTCTATTAGTGTTATTTATTAACTTTGTTGGAAATAGTGGCCTAGTTACACACACAAAGCTATACTATTTGGAAGAGAATAAAAATGGAGGAAAACACTTTTTATTTCACTTGATTGAAAATGGGTACAATACATGGGTTTATATAGGCTTCAAAACATAAATGTAAATGAAAATTAACACCCCACTAACATAACATTTAGTAGGCAAAACTCCCACTAACATGACCATTACTAGTTGTCACTCTCATGCCCCCCACTAACTCCAATAAAAACTCACATAAACATAAAATTAAACATCAAATAAAAAACATCCATAACCTTCAAAGACATTTAAAAATAAAATCAAGTTTAATTTCTAACAAGCAACAACCCACAGGCAATGATGACTGTTAAGCATTATGATCGTCGTGGTGCCTCATCAATTGGAAAACCTGCTGTGCATCCTGCTACTGTAGATTTGAAAAGCAAAACATACGGGTATGTTTCTATCATGATTTCCAAAATGCCTTTTTTTTTTAAAAAAAATTTCTTTTTTAATAGATCAAGAGAAACAAATTTAAACTTTGTTGGAAATGATTTTTTGTTTCCATCATTTTTTTGGGCTGGTGAGGAAGTGTTACTTTTCTCACCTTGACGTCTTGATTGATGATATGTAGTCATGTAATGCACAACATCATTGCATGGTGTTTAAAATTAGATGGAGCACTAGTAATATACTCTCTAGTCTTACTATTGCCATGTTGTTGTTTTGTCTTGGTTGCAGGTTGTTGAGAGAGAATGCAACAAAATTTTTGATGGATGATGTCTACAGAAACCGGGGACCCCTACAGTTTGACGGTCCAGGTGCTGATGCTAAGGCCATTACTCTGTGTGTTGAAGACCAGGATTACATTGGTAGTATAAAAAAACTGCAGGAGTATCTTGATAAGGTGTGGATTCTCGATGTCTGTTGTTATTTATCCTTTTAAACAAATGCCATGGTTGCTTTTCATCTAATATTGTAAGTATTAGAGCACATTCACGTGTTTCTTTGGGATTGAATTTCCGCTTTTCTTACCATCTTATTATCTGCTTGCACTATTTCATGAAAGAATTTTATGATAACATTGGTCCATTGCCAAATGGACTGATAAAGGAGAAAGAAAATTCCTTTGGTTTTTTAACTTTTAAGCAAATTCACTTTCTGACTTAAAACTCAATAGTTCTCATGCCATTAGTTTTTTCGTTATGTTCCATTCCAACTCCATTGTAGATGATAATTTGCCCTACCACCGCTATGGAAAACAATTGGACGTTTATATTACTATTGGATTTCCAAACATGTATCGAGTAAACAAAAAGTATTTAGTTGTATTTGTACTCGATGCAATATGGACAATCTTTTACTCCAATCCGTGCATTAGTTATATCTTATGGTAATTTCTAAATTGTGGTTTTCTTCTAATAGCGATACTTGTATTACAATTCTACCTGTATTTCAGTGTATTAAAATTTGTCGATACAACATAAAAGTTGTTTCTTGTCAAATGTAGTCATATTCTTTATTGTGACAATCATAGCTGTATTTTGTCTCTTTAAATTTGTCGAGACAACATAAAATTTTTTGTGAAAAGAAGTCACAGCACAATGTGAATGTTTTCTTGGTGGACAGGGATCGATGTAGTGCTGTAGTTTCACAGGTTTTTCAATTACTGTCAGGAGTGAATGACTTTCAATCTGCCCATTGGAGAAATGAATGATGAGGCAGCTTAGTTTACGAGGTTTCAATGAGTAGTTTAAAGTTGCTCAAACTAACGGTCCAATTATCTGATGTTGCCATTGAGGGTATTACACAATGAAGATTTTCTTCCAACTTGATGGTGGACGTGTGTTATAGTATTTATCTATGTTCAACCAAATCTCCATTATCTATATTGTGTTCGAATTTTTTCTTTTTCTCATGTTATTTTCCCCCCTCTTCTTACCCCAGGTGCGAACCATCGTAAAACCAGGATGTTCACAAGATATTCTCAAAACAGCATTGAGTTCCATGGCTTCCTTGACAGACATTCTCTCTGTGATGTCATCACCGTCGAACACCGGGCAGACATCCTTATAGAAGTACAAATTAGGTCATCTTTCTTCTGTTTAACTTTTGTGGTGCTGCAGCCCGTGGCATTATTCTTAGTTTATATTCTTGGTAGCATGTAGATGCGCTGTTATACACTAGGTTAATTCGTTATTATTAGTATCCTTGTTATTGTTATTATTATTTTACATTTTGTAACATTTTGTGTGAAATGATTGAGAGGATGGTGGGTAAGGTATGATATTATTGTGTTCCATTTCGGGAAGGGATCTATAATACAGGTAGATGTTGTATAGGCTTTTATAGCAGATGTAGAGAGGATTCATTTCGATAGATTGTTGGAGAATTGAGTTTCTAAATCACACAGATTATATGGTTGATTACAATTAATTTGTCGGTTGATTACAATTAATTTGTCTAAGGTGAACATCCTCATTACTTGTGCAACTTCGTTTATTCAGAACTTACTTTTCTTGACGTCTCCATTTGTTTCACCGTAAATTATATTTCAAAAATTATATTTCTCATTTTCCAGTGTTTGGGAGATTCTTTGGGAGATTCCAAGGCTAGGAAATTATTTTTCATGTAAATAATTTTCACCCAAATGACTGAAAATTGTGAGATATTATTTTATTTTTGGCAATTATCATATATAAAACAAGTCCTAGTCAAGTTGTAATTCAAGTTACTTGGTTTGCAAGTTATCAAGTTTGACAGCGACTAGGGAAGTTGTTCAAACTTACCATGATTGAAGATCTTTTGAAGAAAAGGGTAAGGACAACACATTAGGAAGGGTTAGATATGATATTATTGTGTTCCACTTCGGGAAGGGATCTATAATATAGGTAGATGTTGTATAGGCTTTTATAGCAGATGTAGAGGATTCATTTCCATAGATTGTTGGAGAATTGAGTTTTTAAATCACACAATTATATGGTTGATTACAAATTAATTTGTCTAAGGTGAACATCCTCATTACTTGTTCAACTTCGTTTATTAAGAATTTACTTTTCTTGACGACTTCGTTTGTTTTACCGTAAATTATTTTTCGAAAATTATTTTTCTCATTTTTCGATGTTTGGGAGATTCTTTGGGAGATTCCAAGGCTAGGAAATTTTCACCCAAATGACTGAAAATTGTGAGATATTATTTTATTTTTGGCAATTATCGTAAACAAAATAAGTCCAAGTCGAGTTGTAATTCAAGTTACTTGGTCTGCAAGTTATCAAGTTCGACAGCGACTATAGAATTGGGAAGTTGTTCAAACTTATCATGATTGAAGATCTTTTGAAGAAAAGGGTAAGAACAACACATTAGGAAGGTTAGGACACATTCTACACTTTTCATATTTTTCAGAAGTTTCTATAGAATGTTTTTAGGTTGAAAAGAACCAAATTCAAGTTCTGGACAACTTGAACCGGATCAGTCCCCTTGAACCGGTTCAAGGGCTTAAGATTGGCTTCGAAATTCCTTTTGCCAATCTTGAATCGGTTCAGCCTCTCTGAACTGGTTCAAGGAGTCCTGTTCACAATACAGTTTTCAGTTTATTTTTCCTGATTTCTTTCCTAGTTGGTCTAGAATTGTACCAAGTCTTATGCACGAATTTTTTCAAATTTTCAGAGGGACTAGGACATTCGAAACTCTATATAAACCTTGTTATACATACACATAGGTTTAAATATGGCTTTTGCATTATCAGTTTATTATTCTTAAAAAGCCTTAGGAAGATTTTTGTCTCAGAAATTCTTAGATAATTTTCTATTTGTCTTTCTAGAACATATACATATAAACACTTGGTGAGTTTAGAGTTGTATTGTTCGAATCCTGATCGTGATTATACAGTTACATCTACATCAATCAGACAAAAGTAGATCTACTTCTACATTGAATTCAGACGATTGAAGAATAGAAGTAAAAACGATCACACTTTGAAAGGGTTGGAACATTCGAGGAGTGTTGTCTGATATATCTGCTACTCTTCTACAAAGATCAAATATAAGCATGAGGTCAAGTTGCTGTTGGACGGGGAGTCAAAAGCCAGATGATTGTCAACAGTTGGTGTTTGGTAGAACGATAAGGTGTGAGTCAGAGTCAAAGTTCAGTATACTTTGTTTCAAGCATAGTGGATCGGTTTACTTTGGACTGCACACTCCATAAGGTTTTTCCCACGCAAACAGTTAACGTATTTTATCAAATGGGGTTTCCTCGCTAAAATCGTGGTGTCATCTCTAACTTTACTTTGCTTTATTTTAGATTCCATGATATTAATTTATTAATTGCTAAAATAAAGTAAGTTAGAAGAACACAAGATCTGTTTTTAAAATAATCAAAACTTTCTAATTATTTTCCGCTGTGTACGACTCACAAAAATGACTTATCCAAAAAATTTATGTGAGCCATTTTTCACAGGCTACCTTGGGTCATCTAACCATGTGTATTTTTATTGAACCTACATGTCCCTCTAACAATCTTCTTAAGTCCCCTCAATCTAAAAATTTAGGATATGCTTGGTTTGTAATTATGGAAACAGTTTTTTATTCTCAAAAAATTAAGAACAGAAAATTGTATAAAAAACACTCTGCTTGGTTTCTGTTCTCAAAAAATTAAAAATAGAAAACTGTATAAAAAAACTCTGCTTGGTTCAGACATTTGCTTCGACACATCAGTCCTTGGTGTCTTTGTCAAGCCTGTTATTGAGTATCATTTTAATTAGTTTTGGTTAGTATTTTTAATATAATTAGAAAATAAAATAAAATATTACTGGAGGAATGAACTTCAAACTCTCAAAATTTGTTAACAAAAAGAAAGATTTTTTGAAAATTTGATGCGTCCTTGCTATAACAGTTCTATTCAGAACTGTCTCAAGCCAAGTTAGATTGGTTGAACATTGAGCATTGCTGGTTCATTCCTAGCCTTTTTCAACTGTCTTTAGAGGTAAGG